AAAATGTTTTGGTGACGTTTTGCGTGTAACGTGCACAACTGCAGGTGGAGCGAAAACTCAGTTTGTTTATGTGCGAACAGTGCATGCGACGTTAGTCCGAGCTTTATGAATTCAATTTAAACAATATAAGGACAATATAATCATTCCGCTGCCTTAACTGTTAAGTCAGGGTGTCATACAGCTGTTAAACTGCTAAGTTAGGGCGAACTGAGGCGTTGGGGTGTAATACAGCTGTTCCAAACAAAGTATATGATGATCTGACAGGTTAACTGCTAACTCAGGGTGTCATACAGCTGTTAATAACAAAGTATTGTGATCTGACAGGTTAACTGCTACGTCATGATGTGATATGGCTAATTAAATAGAAGCGTATGGTGATCTCACAGATGTTGCCATCAGTTTACGCTACACGTATGGTGGTCTGACTATGTATGCTGGCCAAACAGAACACGGCAGTAGTCACTTTTTTTTTTTTTTTACCGGCCGGTCGGTCTGTCCACATTCCTACTGTATCTAACATTTGACTGGGATGTTTGCTATGACATAAAGTTCATATCCCTGTGATATTTACCGGTAGTATATTGTGATGAGAAATTACACAAAGCTACATACTAACTACGGTCAGCTAGCTTCTCTACTACTTAGCTCTCGAAGAAAACAGACTTTAACACCATTTACACACAGTTTTAAACTAAAAAAAAACGTAACGGTAAATATTGCTTTTTACTTACTTCCACAGATAACTTTTAGCTCGAGGAGATGACACCCTGCCCGGCTCCGACGCTGCGGTGGAGAGGACCCGGGTAGACCGGCGAAGCTCCATCTAGCTCGCTCTGAATTTTGTTGTCGGCCAGCAAGCACAAAAAAACCCGCCAGCACTTCAGCATTAGACCACGGTGTTGTCATTATTGTTTTTGAAATCTTTAAAATAGGTCCAGCTGCTGCTCCAGTCCGAGAAATTGCAAATGGTGGATCGGTGTTTTGAAAAGTTTCTGAAAGATCCATTGACTCCTCCCCATGACCAATCATTGACCGGCAGTGCGCTGATGTCACATCTGGACCCAACAAGAACCAGACCTGGGACCCCAGAGAAGCAGGTCACAAAAATCGTGCGGGTTCCACCGCTGAAGGCACTGTGGAGAAACTATGCCCGAACTAGTTACATAGGAGCCCCAAAAGGCCCTGTGGATAAGGGTCTTTAGTGAACTGTTGAAGCAGCTGACCGGATGGATGAGCACGTTTACAAGCTTTATCTGTTACTGTCAGTCTTTAGTTAGCTTCTGATTTTAGCTAGCTACGTAGATAACATAAATTTACACACTAATATCTTAAAGTTAGCGTTACATGGATTCTAGTTTAATTCACCGCGATGTACGTGTTAAGCTGCAGTAATGTTAACAAACGTAAACTCACCAGCTGAAATCCCACACACAGCTCCGTCCTCGGAGTTCTTTGATGACGTGGAGATAATGAACCAGACCGTTCATGCTCTCTAACACTCACAGACTGACTTTAATGCTGACAGGAGGGGGGAGGCTGCTGTCCTCCTCTCTCCTCACAGAAAAACACGGAGCAACTTTCTGCTCATAAATTGAAGCCGTTCGACAACACGCGCTGCACACGTGAACCCTGTCTGTGGGCGTCACCAGCACCATAGACATACATTATACATAGATTAGGTACGGCAGCTCTATACAGCTCTGGGTGTAAACATGTAGTCTGTTGGTCATATGTCTGAGTTTTACCTGCCTGCGTGCTGAAACCACGTGACACGTTACAGCCAATACCAAAACTTTACACCGAAAAAAGAGTGACGTTTCAATCCATACACCGACCGGTGCAGTTCGGTGGGTGCTATAAAATAACTTCGGTTCGGTACTCAGCCCTATGTATATGTATACATAAACCCCCACCATCTGTTCCCAAAACAGGTCTCTCTTGAAAATGAGTCCTCGTGACTCAGTGAGACTACCTGTATAAATAAAGGTTAAATAAATTATTACCATGGTAAATTTAACTAAATATTTGATCAAATGTGAAAAATAAATTGTAATAAACCCTATAGATATAATCCCTTTGAAGGAAATAGTCATTTTAAAGTAGTGATCTGTCAGTGCGGCAAATAAAAATTTTAATTTTTAAGGTATTTTGTACTGTGCAAAGGACTACCCGTGTTATAATATTTTAAAATATATCTGGCAACCTAATTGAAAAGACTGAAGTGACATAAAAGTTAACTACAGAAAAGTTGTTCAAAATCAGTCTTCCATCAAAATACTATTGGTTTTGCCGATGCAAATGGAGCAGGTTTTTCTTACATCTTGAACAATTCATTAGAGAACATTTTTTGTATTTTTCAGACGGTACACTCTTTTTACATGAAAGTCTTTTATAAGTGATCAATAAGCAGAAATAAGCTCTCAAATGTGTGGCCTTTTATCGGGTGGTGGGGGTGGATTGCTGCTCTACACCTCATCTCTCGGTGTCATAAACAGTTTTAGTCAAAATATTTGTATTTGCTTTATGTCTGCATGGTAGGAATATGACACGCCATCACTCTGGGGCAGCTGAGAGGGACGTTGCATTGCTGTCATCATATCGTGGAAAGCACTGTTCCGTGTCATGTAATAAAACTGGGCACCTTTGCAGAAAGCTGAAGAAGAAATGTACATTCTGGAACACAAAGGAAATTGCAGTTTCATATCAACACAAGGCTGCATTTCTTCCTAACCCAAGAAGGAAGTACATGAGTAAAACATTAACAGAATAACTGATGGTCTTCATGTACAAAGTGTGTAAGCACAAAGACATGGCATGCGCCGTTTTCCATATTAAATTCAAATGAATCGGCAATGAAATGACCAAGGAACTGTATGCGTGTTGTGAAAAACACGTGTAGATGCAGCTCCATGACACCTTCATGGCTGGTGTACACGTTTCTACAGGTTTTGGTTTACTGGTTAGGGTATGCTGGAAAGCTGATAATGATGTGAAAACTAGAGCCCAACCGATATGGAAATTCTGGCTATCACCAATATGGTGAAAGCCATATTGGTGATTAGCCATATTACTCCTCTTCCCAATATTGGGAAGAGGAGTTACCACAAATAACAGATATAATGGCTGAAAATTTGTGAGCTCTGTCCACCCCCAAGAATCTTAAGAAAACAACGAGTGGAGCGGGGCTTGTTTATTTAGCACAGCTGTTAGCAACCGTGAAGCTATGCAAATCAGATCCACTCTATAACTAGTCCCACTCTAGGTTTCCAAGTGATGCTCTGGTCATAAAAGCAGTTTTCCTAACGTGTGTTCATATTTTCTATTCCTCCACTATTCACCATAAAGTTATCAAGTGTGTTACAAAAATATAAATTCACTGTTTACAGTCGGTTACTTATGGTGAAGGTCCAATTAGTGTTGACCGCAGCAGTTTTTTTTTCTTTGCAGAGAAGTAAAGATTTCAGACAAACAATGCATTTCATTGAGGATGACAAAGATAATGTTACTAACACTGATATATTGTACCTCTGTGTAAGTTTGACAAGACAATAGCCTATGCTAAACGTTAGCTTACTAACCTGAGAGGCGCGTTGCTAATGACAAGTGGGTTGGAGGATTGAAGAGAATTTATTATTGTTGATTTATTTTACAGGTCAGTAAAAATAAATTTACCATGCTCTGTTCAACAAAAATATACTACACGGTACTGTTCCCTGCTTCGTCTGTGCTGAAAGTGAAAGTTAAGTGAAGGGCCATGACTTGAAAGTTGTCTTCATGCACCTCTGCTGGATACATTGTACAATTATGGCTGTTTCCAGCATTTTAGAGGTGGAAAATTAGGAGTGTATATTGGCGGATAATGGGACAATTATCACAGATACCCATAGGTCGCCAAACACATATATTGGCCTAAAATATCGGCCCTACCGATATATCGGTTGGGCTCTAATGAAAACAGTTATTGTACACACCAGACACATGATACACAATAATACATTCATCTTTTATCCAAGCTATGCCAGCCATATTGGATAGATGTATCGATCACAAATGCAACTAATTAACTTTGAACTTGCATTTCATAAAATCCCATCTCATTCCATGTGACTTTTGTTCGTGCAGAGGAGAATCATGTGCGAGGGAATAATTGCATATATAAATGGAGACGTGTCACGGAAAGTGTCCACTGTGTCTGCATTCCTCAAGATGTACAAAGAAACTTGGATTCATGCATGCACACAGTCTTATAAATCTATACATTTTTTTTGAAAGTTTGTGGTTTTAAGAATCTGCCATGTTTTAGTAGGAAATCAGCACAATTCTTTGTAAAAAAGGCTCCCGTTGAGTCTATTTTTGTTTCAAAGTCCAGTTTTACTGTACATAGGTGTCCTGGATAAAAGAGGCAACACAGTTTCACTTGTACATCAGAAGTGCAATCATCTGGGTTCAACTGTGTAACATCGGAAACTAAAATTACATAATTAAATCAGTGTTCCTGGCTAGGTTGTTCTTTGTTTGTGTTGTCTGTTAGTAGAGTGATGAAATCCAAACAAACGGTACAAAGTGAGCACAGCCACTGGCTACATTAGGCATTTGTTTTGTCTTTATTAAAAGGATAGTGGGATGATGGACTGGTTTATTAAATAAATAATTATTACAGATTCACAGAATGTCCCAATAAACAATATGCACATTACCGGTAAAGTTGTTCAAGCAAGAGATTTTTCTTTTAAATATAATTTATTTTAATACTGACCTTTGATATACAGAAAAATTTAGGTTGGTTTAGCAGAAGTATCAGAAGTGGATGTGTAAAAAGTTAAAAACGTTGGTAAATGTAGCAATTTGTAAACTGGAAGCTGTTTGTGGCCTCAAATATATTAGTTTCAGTTTTATTTTTTGTGTTTTGTTTTTAAATTTTATATCATGTAAAAAGTTCAACTGTACCAGTTTGGTTAGTTAATGAAACTTAAGTTTCAAGTTTCTGTGTTTGCTTTCAGTTTTCAGAACCTGGGCATACAGTGCGTGAAGAAGAAGGATGTGAATGAGGCCATCACTTGTAGACTGCAGACCAGTAACAACCCCTTCAATAGTAAGTGCTGGGGTTTTTTTTTCACGCTGTCATTGAGTCAAAGGTTTGTATTAACTGAGTCCTAAGCTTAAGACTGGAAGTTAATAAATCAGGTCTCTCTTGTAAATGAGTCCCTGAGGCTCAGTGGGATTAACCTGTCTAAATAAAGTTTGAATGAAAAAAAAAGGTTGGTGTTGATGTAGAGAACATTTCACTGAAAAAATGGAAAAGCCTACAATTGCAAAGTCAATAAAAGAACTAAACTTTTGAAGTTCATATGAAATTTTGCATTTCTTTTTAAGGTTGCCAATGCATAAACATGACTAATCTGCCATTAATCTTCAGTTACTATTGTGCCCCGTTGCAGAGCAAAAAAATGAGAATTGGAAATGCCCTCTGTCGATCGTCTATGCATATTTTGATTGTGATAAGTTGAAAAATAAGAGAGGTACTGACTTCCATTTTAGATTTTGGGTGCATCTAGGTGTAAGAAAGATTCCTTTTAAAATTTGGGTGGCCACGTCAAAGTTCAAGATGGCCACCACCATATATATATGCAAAGCTATCATTTAAGAAACTATGCTTTCTAGTTTTTATATCGCTTAAAAGTAGTTTCATCAAATAATTGCGGTGGCTGGTGCAATGACTGGATTAATCTATGGTGGCCAAGGCCACCATTGGCCACCCTATGGCTTCATTGTTGCACCTGATGGTGGATGAAAGTGCTCTCTTTTTTTGACAAGGTCTGCACCACCTTGAACAAGAAAAATAAAACCATTTCTTAGACATGTCCCTGTAGGCTAAAACCTCCACCTCCTAAGCTAGTTTTCCTTCTGGTGCCCATTGAGTCAAGAAATAGGTCCTTGACCCGGAGCGATCTATTCTTACAAACTCCCACTTTAATATGTTCTGTTCATCTTTGATACTGTAGTTCTCTTCAGCTTTAGAGTTTCTTTTCTTTTGTCTTTTTTTCTGTAATTTTGTCCCGTTAGTAACTTTTAACAGATTAAAATCCAATTCTTGCCTCAAAACAACGTCTTTCGTATCGATATGATATTACTGTTCTTATACACAGTGTACCTCCTACCCACTTGAGTATCTTGCACCAAAAACATTAAGATTTTCTTAAACACCCTGTTCAATTCCAGTCCAGAAAAACCCTCATCTTGAAAACGGCAAACATTCACGACTCAAATCCCTCAGTGATGGGGGTTATTGGTGTACCGATTGTCCTTTGTGATTCACTACTTTTTCCACAGCTTTGGAAAAACCTATGCACACAAAAATGACATCAAAACATTTAGCACAATTGGGAATTGTGTTTTACGATTTTTGGTAGCTGTACATCACAGACTAAAATAAAACAAATTGGTGAAAATCTTCCTTATATACAACAATGGGATTTGGGTAGGGGTGGCACAGCAAGAAGAGCATCAGGAAAGAAAAAATTCCTTCAACCTCCTTCAAAGGGTAACCCATGGGCGATCCATTTCCAGCCATACAGCCCCTCGTACAGGCAGGAGTCGAGGCTCGACGACTTCACAACCCCAGAAATGTATGGATTAATGTATAATGTTGTATTCTGTTAAAACACAAATGTTTCTACCATCCAGCCCTCATATATTCTAAATTGCTGTAATAGCCATGTTTCTTTCAGTTGCCAACGACTTCCAGAGCTTATTTGAATTAATTACTTTGATTAGCATTACCATGTTGAAGTGGAAACAATCGTAGTGTTTGTCTTTTAATTAATTTAAAACGTTCAGTCAAAAAGAAGGTGTAAAGTCAGGGTCCTGCCTGTCTTCGTTTGAGCTGTGCATTGAGGTCCACTTTCATTGGTTGAACTCCACTAAAATTCCCACCGTTATAGAAGTGCAGTCGTTTTGATTGGACAAACCATTCCAGAACACGCCCACAACGAAACTTTAAATAAGTTGCACACTTTCAGCTCGCTCTTATTTTTACTCCTAATTTAATTTTTCTCTTATTTTTTCTTTATTTATTTTTGTCTCTGGTTTTTGTTCGTCACGTTTCACCTTCATCAAAGTTCCTTTGTGCCAGTTTTCTTCATCATTAGTCACAATTTTTCCAAGTTATCTCCTCCATCGGAAACACTGGTTTGATTCAGGCACAGCTAGAAGAACAATAGTCAGTCAGAACTTTTCCAGTAACTCTGGGCGTTCATAAACAGTTCCTCTGGCTGAGACCTCCAGACTCCACCACCAGGATCCAGCCAGTGGACTCGCCACCGAGGAACCCTGCAGTTACTGTTTGGACCAGAGGAGGAAAACCCCCAGCCCAATCTAGGAGGTACCCAAGAGAACTCCATCCTTTGGAACCCTTCATCACTTCACAGGTCACATGACCCTCCAGTACCTGCTGCAGAACCTTCTTGGACATCTCCCTGTAGGCTAAAACCTCTACCTCCTTAGTTGGTGTTCCTTCTTCTGTCTTTTGAGTCAAGAAATAGGTCCTTGACCCAGAGCTATCTATTCTTATACTTGAATATGTTCTGTTCAGATGTAGAGTTTCTTTTCTTTTGGTCATCATTTTGGGTTAAATTTTTTTCCCTTAAGCCTCTTAACAGGTTAAAATCCAATTTTTGCCTCAAAGCAACACCTTTCTTATCGATATATTATGTTTTTGTTTACTTCAAGTTTTTACATTAGGATCACTTCTGAACACCTTTCACTATCCAGATCCTCCAGAACTTGTTATATTCTTGTCAGTAAACATCACGTAAACAGTGTTGTGTGTGTGTTTTAGTGTACATGTACTTTATTTATCTCCTGAGTTCTCCACCTCTGACTGCACTTTGGGTTCATCTACCAGCAGAGCATGCCGTATCGGGCTCATGTATTAGATGAATAACGCTGGTATTTCAGGCAGTAGCTGCATTGGCACCCTTCAAAATGGCTTTAGTAATTTTCTGCTTACAGCATTAGTATTGTAGTACTAGTTTGCTGTCCTACTTCATACTGTTTTTGTACAGAGTAGCCTAAAAATGAACCCGTTTGCCCGAAACAAGCGTTTATTTATCCAACGTTTGACAGGATACGGTGCCTAATCAGACTGCCGGGCTGTAAGATTGCTCTCTCCACCCTTTTCCTTTCTCTGTTTTGCTTGCAGTTCCTGAGCCCAAGGTGTGGGAGGAAGAGTTTGACCTGAACTCAGTGCGGCTCTGCTTCCAGGCCTCCATCACTTTGCCTGCGGGGGAGTTGTTTCCTCTGGAGCCCCTCGTGTCGCAGCCCATCTTTGACAACAGTGAGTTGGACTCAGATCAGACGTGAAGGGGTTTTTTCAGACATAAGTGGATGATATGTTTTACTTTCCCAAATGCCAAGTTTCCTCTTTTGAATGGGAAGAATTAGGGAAAATTAAAATTGGGATTAGAGAAATAAGCTTTAGGGAAGGTAACTGGCTATCCCATCTTCATTGTGACCTGTTGCAAAAACAAAGGCAGGCAATAATGTTTTTGTCTGTCTGTCATCAAAGTGTCTCATGAACTGACAAAATAAAAAAATTAACTCAAAGGATTCACTGTAAAAGGCCTTATATCTAGAATGGATTATTTATTAAGTCAATCTGACAAGATGGCTGCCACAGTCATATGACATTAAAGATGTCTATATTTCTGTCGCTCTTAAAAATATTGATCTAAAATTAGGTGTGGTAGAAGTAGGCCTGTCACGATAAGAAATTTTGCTGGGCGATTAATTGTCTCAGAAATTATTGCGATAAACAATAATATTGTTTAAAATTTGACAATAATTAGTTATTATTGTCAAATTTAAGAAGAAATGTTGGTTAATTTTTGAGTGTAGTGCCTTTTTTTGACCACTGGATGGCAGCATAAGACAGTTTGAACTAAAGGATGGATGGTGAGGGAGCGAGCGAGCAGCATGTCTCTTTAAGAAAAATGAGAGGGAGGCTCCTTGACGTGACATGGGCTGTTTCTCCTTACTGTTTTTTGGTTCTCAAAATGGCGGACGCTCGGTGTGGTTTGAGCTCTTTAGCATAACATTTTTCACACAAAGCTTTTAATTAAAAAAAATCAGTAAACAAGTTCTCAGCTTCTTTTTGCAGAGAAAAACAACTTTTTAGACGAAGGCACGGGTTTCAATCATGAATTTTGGAGCTTCGACAAGACGGAGGTTTCTTTCCTGAGGTCGGCCTGTTAGCTTAGCTCGTAGCTTAGCTTCCCAGCGTAGCTGCTTTTAACGATCCAAAAACGTGATTTTGGACGGTTAAAACAGATTTTAAAGAGAAAGTGTGGGGTCAGTGAAGAGCACAGGAGTTGAGCCTTTTGTCATCCAGTGTCTTCAGTAGAAAGAGAGAGACATGAAGAAACGATAAATCTGATATCATGTGATTAATTGATCGCGACAGGCCTGGGTCGTAGCTGAGAGTCTGAGCGTGACGTTTGAGCACAGTGACATTTTCAAAGTTGGACAAAACGGCTTCAGCTCCGTCCTTTAACAGAAAACGATCTTAATCTAAAGTCTTTATTTACCACCATAAAACATTCTGCTGTCTGTTAGTGAAGTGAATCTAGGACGCGCTTTCAAAGATATTGCTTCTTGGAAACCGTGCGTCCGACACGCTTCCTTTTTCTGGTTCGCTGCGAGTTGAATAAGCTGCACAGACGCCAGGGAGGTGGATTCTGTGACGGAAATCTCACCAATCTGCTGAGACGTGAGCTTCACTGCAAGATAAAAAAATTATTAAAAAAAAAATGGATGATAAGAAAAGACAACTGTCAGTGTAAACTCTGAGCAGCAACAGCTAAACAAAACACTAACTTTACATTTTCTGTGACCTTCCACCCCTCAGACAATCTTTGTTCCTCTTTATTTATTAAGTTTTCTCATCAGCCTGTAGATATTTACTAGAATCCACCTTTGAATTCACCACATCCTTTTTTAACATTTTCCTCTTCCGTAGCTAAAATCTGTCTGTAATGCAAACGTTTATTGTACCTTATTTTTTGCTGTATAAATCGCGTTTTTTTGCATGATTTGCATGCCCTGCGACTTATCCGCCGAAACAACATATTTATGGATTTTTCCCACATTTATAAACCAATTTTTGGCTGAGATATGGCTGTTTTCATTCATTCTGACTGAAAATATTAAACACTACCATTTTCAGCTGCTAGATGGCAGTCGAGTAGTATGGCATGCTGTTGTATTGTGTAATAGGTAAAAGTGGCTATTAATGACACATTCAGCTTGCCTTAGTCTGCCCCCTTCGTCTGCTTGGAGCAACGTCAAATCAGCTTCATTTCGCTGCGCTGCCCCGGCAAAATGCAGCTGATTTGACCATTAAAGTGCATTTATTAAGTAAAAGTTCAACCGAGACACGCCTTTACTATAACGTCGAGCAAACACATAATTGTTTTAGGTGCTTATCTGGTTAAATCTTTAAGAAATGGACAACGAGTCGTCCCTTTTCGCGTTCATGTTTCTGCGTATCGGCTTTTGAAATGCAGTTGATTTGATCGTCAAAGTGTATTTATTAAGTAAAAGTTCAACTGAGACACACCTTTACTATAATTTTGAGTGAACAAATAATTGTTTTTAAGTGTTAATCTTGTTAAATTCTTGTTAAAGTCCTCCCGTGCACGCTCCCACGGCTGCCATTTGGCATCCAATCGATTTTTGGCACAACACCAGCCCACATTTCCGGGTTGTCAGCGGTGATGTGTAACAAACGCAACGCATAATAGATTTGACGTATATGGCGAAGCTACGTATTTATGGATTTGTCCACTTTATTAGACATATTTGGGCTGATGCGACTTTTAGGGCGGTGCGGCGTGTACGGTGGAAAATACGGTAATCACATTTGTGTGTTAATGTGAATCCTGAGGAACCGCCTAGAAAGGCAGCTACCTATGTCTTACTCTGCTGTCAACTTTAATGCAGCCCGAACTACAACTTGTACTCCCACAAATGTTATATCAAAACAACCGGCTTGGCACCGTGATGCATGCTACTACTTTTATTGGTGTTTTGAGTTACCATGGCGACGTAATTTGCAAACAAAGGCACCGTTTTTCTCATTGAAAAACACTGACAGAGCTCTGAAGAGCCTCCAACAGATACAGAGAGGTCACATGACCTAGAGTGGAGAGGTCTCTGAACAAAACACTCATTAACTTTTGGAGCCATTTTGGATCAAGATGGCTGCCACAGCTACCTCAGAAAACTCAAAATTGACTAACTCATTCTTTGAGATGAAATTTGACATGACTGTAGCTGAGAGCGGGTTGTTATACATTCCTGATGCAAATTAAAAATCCAAGATGGCCGCCTTAGGTAAACGAGATATGATAACTCAGCTATATTTAAAGATATTGAGCTGAAATTTGGGGGTATTGGTAGCTGAGGACGATCCTTAATATACTGAAATCCAAGATGGCCACCTGAACTAAAAAGAAAAAAAATATTATAACTCATTGATTTTTTTTTACCATATAGAGCTGACATTTGGTGTGGTGGTAGCTGAGAGCGAACCCCAACATGTATTGCTATCAAATCAAACTTTTCACATGGCAGTCTCCATCAAAGTTTCTCCAGGAACTTTCTACTTTCATTGTTGTATTTGTTCATAAAAGCTTCTCTCGTCTTCCAGGAGCCCCGAACACAGCCGAGCTGAAGATCTGCAGAGTCAACCGCAACTCGGGCAGCTGCAAAGGAGGCGACGAGATCTTCCTGCTGTGTGACAAAGTCCAAAAAGGTGATGTCTGCATGAAAATGCATCGCACGCCTCTGAACTCTCACTTTCACGCTGAACATAAATAGAACTCTGAAGTGACTGAGCAGATGTGAAGCTCGTGAGGAGGAGAAGGTGAAAAGTGTTCACGCCCACAGGAAACCAGGGTCTGTTATCTCTGCAGGAAGTTCTTTGTAAACAGAAGCATGAGGCTCACAGCAGCTGCTGCTGTAAGGTCCCCACTGACACACGCCTGAAGAAGGACGTCAAATGAAAGGACATGTTTAGCCATAATAAAGAGGGTTTTTGTTTAAAAGTTATAAACAATATCTGACCTGCTGCAGATAGCTCTTTGAAACAACCTCAGTTTAAAGAAACTAAATTTAAACGGTTAAAATGTTGTTTCGATTTAAGATTTTACAGCAGTTCGTAGAAATACAGCAAATCTTTTTACCTCCAAGGATTTAACGTTAAAAAATTTTAAGCCAGAATACTTTGATTTTCGGGATTCTTATGCGGTCTGGACAAAAAAAAATCAGCTTTAAAAAAGGGTTTTAATGCAATATGCAGAATAATTCAAAACATATATTTAACAAGGACAAAAATTTATTAAAACAGAATATTAACATGAGAGATGAGCTTACTGGGATTAAAAACACTGCAATTACCGTAGTTTCCACCGTATAAGTCGCATCAGTCCAAATATGTCTAAAAAAGTGGAAAAATCCATAAATATGTCGCTTCGCCGTATACGTGGCATCTATTATACGTCGCCGCTGACAACTCAAAAATGTGGACCGAACCCGGAAATGTGGACCAGTGTTGTGCCAAAAATCGATGAGCTGCCAAATGGCGGATGCGGGAGCGTTCACGGGAGGACTTTAACAAGAATTTAACAAGATTAACACTTAAAAACAGTTATTTGTTTGCTCGAAATTATAGTAAAGATGTGTCTCGGTCTAACTTTTGCATAATAAATGCACTTTGACGGTCAAATAAGCTGTATTTCAAAACCAATTTGCGGAAGCGGCAGGCACGCGCAAAGGGACGAACCTCCTCATTTCTTTGAAAACCAACAAGATAAACACATAAAACATTTCTTTGTTTGCTCAAATGTGTCTCAGTCTAACGTTTGCTTAATAAAAGGACTTCAGTGTTTCCCCTAGTTAGCTTGCCTTGGCGGGGTGCTCGATTTTTGCTGATGGGGAGGACGGAGACATGTCTGAGTGCAGCTTGTACTAACAGTTTTTGAGCAGGGACGGGGGTCATTCATCATGAGGGAAGAGGCAATGTGAGTGCTGCCTTTGGCTTTTTAGCTAGAGAGCCTGTATTTTGTGCTGCTAGCTTAGTGAAATGTGTGTGCGGGGGGGGGGGGGGAGGGGCAAGTTCAGTTTGGTAGGCGGGGTGCTCAGTTCTGTTGACGGGGTGGGGCACCCCGCCTGTATAATGGTAGGGGGAACACTGGACTTTAACGATCAAATCAGCTGCATTTCAAAAGTATTCTCTGCCTCGGTGCTCTGGGATCACAAAGGGAGGAACAAAAAGAAGGAATGCTGCTGGTTTCTTTGAAATTTAACAAGATAACCACGTAAAAACAATTATTTGTTTGCTTGAAATCATAGTAAAGGGGCGTCTCAGTTGAACTTTAACTTAATAAATGCACTTTAATAGTCAAATTAGCTGCATTTCACAGTGGCGATGCAGCTGGTTTGACGGTTCCAAGCAGCGAGCAGAACGAAGGTGGGAGGCTGTGGCCGGCCGATTGTGTCATTAAAAGCTGGTGAAGATTCTCAGTCATCCAGGACATGATAAATTCAAAAAAGTTCAAGACAAAAACAAAGTATAAAGTATAATATATAAAGCCCAGTTGTTTTTGTCTTGAACTTTTTTGAATTTGTCATCATAGCCAATTTTACCTATTAAATGATACAACGACATGCCTTACTGCTACTACTACTCTGCTCCCATCTAGTGGCTAAAAGTGGTACTGTTCTTTTTTGTTTTTGTTTTTTCAATCAAAATGAATGAAAACGGTCATATCTCAGCCAAAAATTGGTTTATAAATATGGGAAAAAAAACATAAATATGTCGCTTTGGCCTATAAGTCACAGTGCAGGTAAATTATGCCCCCAAAAAACCCCTGCGATTTAAAGGCTGAAAAGTACGTTAGAGGGATTAGTGGATTTCAGAGGAAACTGAACCTGCATTATGTTTTAGATATTACACAGACAGTGGTATTTCAACACAGAGCAGCGTAGCAATATCAAAGTCAAAGTTTATTTGTTGTTCGCACCACTACGTTGTAATGCATATATGTATTATATATTACACATATGTATTGCACTTAATAAAAAGGGGGCGACACAGTAATGCTGTTGGTAGAGCTGCCACCTCTCAGCGAGCAGGTCGTCGGTTCAAATCCCGGCTGGGGTCTTTCTGGGTGGAGTTTGCATGTTCTCTCCGTGCATGTGTGGGTTTTCTCCAGGTACTCCAGTTTCCTCCCACAGTCCAAAAACATGCATGTTAGACTGATTGGTAACTCTAAATTGTCTCTAGGTGTGAGTGACAGAGTGAATGGTTGTTTGTCTCGTTTGTCTCTATGTGGCCCTGTGATGGACTGGAGACCTGTCCAGGGTGTAAGATGGATGGATGGACTGATTGACTGATTGATGGATGGATGGATTCATTGATGGAATGATGCATGGATGGATAGATGGATGCTATGTGCTTCATAAGGGAGTAAATGAGATTTAAGTACTTTCCAGGTCTAGATATGTACAGAAAATAAAAACAGTGAAAAATATTAATGTTCTCATTGAAATGCATTTGTAAAAGTAAAATATTTGGAAGTTGAGGGTATGTTTTACATTAACTTCAAACAAAAAATGAACATAATCACATCATTGTCCTTTCTGTTTTCTATATGAAGAAAGTTCCCAACTTTCAGAGATACTACCTCTACTACGACTATTATTAATATTCTTAATAATAATAGACAGGAGAGGATAATAAATAATCTTTAACTCAACAGCCCAGATTCAGTCATCTTTTTTTCTTTTACAAACTTAAGGATAATAATAAAATAAAAGATGATCTTGCACAACATTTAACACATTTGAGGAGTATAATTACACATCTGTAAGACTTGCATCAGTTCTTAAAGCAGATAGCATTTTTGCAGGAAGTGATCCAGGCTGCGCTGGACGTGCTACAGCTAGCTGCTCCTGCATGAAATTCTTCAGATTAAAGCTGTTTTAAGATGGCAGCCATAAGCCTGTCGCAATAAACAATAAATCAATTAATCGCATGATAAAAGAAAATTATCAACTTCATTTTCATTTATCGGCTTTATTGTTTCTTCGTGTCTCTCTCTTTCTACTGAAGACACTGGATGATTAAAAAGCTCAACTCTGGTGTTCTTCACTGACCCCTCCCTTTCTATTTTCTCTTTAAAATCTGTTTTACTCGTCCAAAATCGTGTTTTTGGATCGTTAAAAGCAGCTAAGCTGAGAAGCTAAGCTACGAACTAAGCTAACAGGCCGACCTCGGGGAAAAACCTCCGAAGCTCCAAAATTCACGATTGAAACTCGTGCCTTCGTCTAAAAAGTTGTTTTTCTCTGCAAAAAGAAGCTGAGAACGTGTTTACTGATTTTTTATTAAAAGCTTTGTGTGAAACATACTATGCTAAAGAGCTCAAATCACACCGAGCGTCCGCCATTTTAAGAACCGAAAAACAGGAACGAGAGACAGCCCATGTCATGTCAAGGGGCCTCCCTCCCATTTTTCTTAAAGCAACACACTGCTCGCTCCCTCACTATCCATCCTTGGGTTCAAACGGTTTTATACTGCCATCCAGTGGTCGACAAAAGGTACTACATGCAAAACAAATTAACCAAGATTTTTTCTTAAATTTGACAATAATTACTAATTATTATCAAATTTCAAACATTATTGTTGTTTATCGCAATAATTTATGAGACAATTAATCGTCCAGCAAAATTTGTTATCGTGACAGGCCTAGGCAGCGTCCACTTCCTCCTTTGTATTTGTGATAAATGGTTCATAACTTTACCACAGAACACCATTTAATGATACTGTTGCTTCAGTGACCTACTTATCTCTGTCTTTTAGCTTTAATTCAGGCCAAGCACCTCAATCTGATTTAAAACCTTTTGATGTCTTTGTTTAAACAAGCTGAAGAATTAAAAAATAGATAAAAAAAACAATTAAGTTGCCTCCATCTTCAGTCACAAGTAATAATGTAGGGCATCGGGTGTGGCCAGTACTTATCTGTATCTGTAGTTGGGTCACAGAGGGAACAGATCCTGGGGAGAAACACAGAAATCCCTTCATCTCCCCATCAACACTCTCCAACACCCCTAAAATGTTCCCAAGCCAGAAAGGATACATAATCCCTTCAGTGAGTTCTGGGTCTCCCAGGAAATCTTTCCAGTGGGACGTTCCCAGAAACACTTCAAAGGGAGGAGTCCACGACATGGTGCAGTACCTCACTACTATAGGTGAGAGTTACAACGTAGAAAGACTAGAAAGTCCAGAGCTTTGCCTTTCGACTCAACTCTTTCTTCACTACGACTCACTGAAGCAACGCCCTCATTACTGAGGTTGAGGCCCCAATCCGTCAATCCATCTCAGAGTCAGAGTCAGAGTTTCTTTATTGTCATTCGCACCTCATGTGGTACATGTGGTGGAGCGAAATTATGTACACGGGGTCCCAGTTACATCCAACAATAAAATGTATAAGAAAAACAGTAATAACATCTAAGATATGAACTAAGAAAAACATCAACTAAATATACAC